ATGAAACAAATAATAGAATAATTAATAAGTAAATATGCAAAAATAAACTCAAGCTATAAATCTACGCTTGCCCACCGACGTGTGTTGTGTGTGTGTATATGTGTTCAGTCATGAGAATAAGAAGGACACCTTTTCATTTCTTTCCATTTGCAGATGAACCTAGAGTGCATTTGCTAAGTGAAATAAGTCTGACCAAAGATAATAAATATTATATGATATCACTTTTTTTACTTTAAAAATCCATAGAAATGGAGAGTTGAATGGTGGTTACCAGGGGTTGGCAGATGGGGAAATGGGGAAATTTATCCCAGTGTTTATATAAGAAGTATTAGTGATATTTTCCAAGATAAAAGAAATTCCACTTTTGCACAAATATGAGAGAATAGAAAAGTTTTATTATAGTAGCAATAAGCAAACAATTGTAATGGGTGGGGGAAACTGTGTGGGAATGAAGCACCTAGCGGTAAGTAATCAAGGTGTGGAGTGATTGCAATGTGGTGGCCACAGTGAGTTTCACAAGAAAAGGACAGAACTAGTTATTCAGTGAAGTGGTTACATATATGTTGCTTAAAGACTATCCACAGAAACATCTGCATATACTGAACATTGTTCTCTTAGCTGTTGAATCTCTGTCTTTTACTCTTTTGACATTTCACTTAGTTGAGTTCTAAGAAATCTGTTTTTCAAACAACTCTTTGTTCTTCAGTGGGCAGATAATAAGGAACAATTTCAGTCTTTCCATAAGAATGTAATTCAACACATTTATGGTCATTTAGAAAGAATTCTATAAGCATCTCTAGCTATCCATTACCTAATGAAAATAATTGATTTATCTAATAGCATAGGTAAAATGATCATTATCATTCCAAAGGTAAAAATGTGAAGTAGAAGCTATAGGTGGAGATTATGTGCCAATCTAGAAATAATCTAGAGGAGAAATGGTCACTAGGGATAAATACAGAAAGCTTGGAGTCACCATCTTTTGGTCTCATGTATTCCCCTTCTCTGTGTCTAAGAAAGAGCTCAGTAGATAGGGATTATCCATACGTTCTGCTTTGGAGTTTAACAAATGGAGAATGTGTCTCTCCCTGTAGAATAAATGAAATATCCACTAATTGACAACAAGAAACTTTACTACACTCCCCAGTCCTGAGAGCTTGAGAGATAGAAACAGATTTGGGGGGAATGAGATATATGGGGAAGGAACACTTGAAAATATGCAGGAGACATAGTCAGATTTTCATTAAGCTTAATCTTCCTTGAACAGAAATGAGAATAAAAAGGAAGCAACCTTTAATGCTTCCAAGATTATGTCAAGCATCCTTTTCTGACTCTCAACTTCACTTCTGGCATTTTCCTGCCTTAAAACATAGCGACTCTCCCTTTCTGCCAATTCCCTCTTCATTTCTGCCTTGCTCTTTTCTTGCTCCAGTTTATCCTCTAGCCTTCTGATTTTTTCTTCATACTCCTTTACTAACTGCCTCTTCTCTCTCTCCAGCTCTTCTCTGAGTTGTTCTTGTATCACTTGAATTTGTTTCTGAATCTCCACCTCAGCCCTTTGGTACATCTTATTAGTATAGAATCCTCCCTCGTTCTCCATCACCATGCGCTGGACCAATTCCAGCAGCTGTGCCCTCTGATCCTCCTGTTCAGCCCCTGTTGCCTTATTGTTGAACTCACAGTGACGACCCCTGAATTGCTCTATCAGATCTTGAATGCCTTCTGGATCCTCCTTTAAGTAATCATGGAACTCCATGCCATCCAAGTCATCTTTCCGGGTGAATAAGAGAATCATGTATCTCCTAGCTTTGGGTCCAAACATTGACAGCATCTTCTCCACGGCATTTTCCTCTTCTTTGGTTTTTGCTGCAATGCTGGAATGAAATGCTTTCTTTCCAAGGATGCTGTTCCCTGAGGCACTTTTTCCTGCTCCAGTCTTACCCAGTAAGACAAGTCGCAGTTGTGAATCTCTGGGGTCTTGGTTTCTAAGCTCTGGAACATGAGGAAACAAAAAACACAGCATTAGGATTGACTTCCAACATTTCCCACTGCTAGTGCCCCGCCCACTGGTTTTTCTTTATTGCCCAATAGTGTCCTGTCTCTGAACCACCTCTGCACTCACAGGAGGTCTTTGAAACACCTGGGCCTCACCTCCCTCCTGAAGGAGGTGAGGAATGCTAGGAACTTCTCAGGAGTCCCTTAGGCTGCTCTCTCTAACCTGTGGAAGCTAAGTACCTATGGAAGAAGCTGAAAAATGGTTCAAGAGAGAACTCTGAGTTACTGCTGGTAGCTGTTCCTCATAAGCTAATGTAGGAAGTAACACAAAATCTGACTCTGGGACATCACAGTGGAAGATCCCCTTCCCTCAAATGATATCCAAAATGGACTTTTATTCTTTCCATTAAGAAGTCACGTAGGTGGTCGATTCAAGTCATCCCACCCTGAAAGGAAATAAAGGGCACATGTGCAGAAAGGCAAAGTGTTCCTTCATATTTCAATGTATGCATCCAGCTTCTCAGGGATTCTGAACCACAGGAGAACAAAATGCCTTACTTTTAATTTATGACCTAAATGTAGAAACCTAATGAAGTTTTCCTATCTTAAATTAGTATATAGAAGACTTCTATACAGAAAGTAGTGACAGTTATCTGAAACTATTCTAAAATTTCTTGATACATAAATAATAGTAATAACAACTCATACAGAGTAGCAGTAGTGGAGTTACACTTTATTAGTTTCACTTGGTTAGACATGTCTACTTCCTAGGACACCTGGAACTTAATAACAGAAGAGCATAGCCTATCACCTGATATTTAAAGATCACTCTGTCTTAAGTTAAACACCAAACCATCTATATAGGTCTTTATTCCTCTTTCCAGTCAGTATTTCTCTGCATATCTCTTCCATGTGTCTATAAAGTCAAAACCTTCAGGATTTGTTCAGCACAGACCAGGACCATAGAAGTCAACTGACAAGCACATCTGAGAGCCTATTTCTCCCTGAAGGAAGACCTTGTCAGCACAGCCCTTGAGTAAGACTGACATTTGCAGGAGGAAACCTGGATTACAATGATTTGTCTCTTTGAGTCAATGCATACATCACCACACTGACAATATTGCTGACATGATTGTAGACTCCATTTTATTTTTCAGAGATATCATCACTATTTACCCAGTTCCTCAGACAAAACTGGGAATCTCCCTGGATTCCTCTCTTTCCCATACCTTCCAGATCTGACCCATTGGCAAGTTCACAAATCTGACCGCTTCTCTCCATTTGAAGACCATCATACTAGCCCAAGCTACCATCACCATCAATGACTCAGCAGTCCCCTAAGTGGTTTCTTTAGTTCTGTTGTGCCCTCTTTTTCTATTCTGTACATTGGAATGATTTTTCAAAAATTTCAATCAAACAAAAGAGAGATTTTGCAGAACTCCCCACTCTGGCTTCCAAAAAATAGGTAGTTATTCCCTATCACCCACACACTTTATAGTGATTCTGTTGCTAATGCAAGGATTAGAAAAACCATTCCTAAGGCAGAGTATCCCACATTTGATAACCAGAATTCTGCAATGAGAGAAGTATATTTCCAGAAGCTGAGAGCAGTGGCTACAAGATGGCTAAGGTGAAGAGAAAATGTGGGTGGGATCAGATTATTACTTAGTTAGCACCACAGTGGAAAACTCCAACCTAAGGATATCCTGAGGGCATTAGATGACCATCCAGAGAGAAGTAGGAAAATAATGGAAAGTGAAATGAAAAGTCACCAAAGGCCAGCTCCAATATTGCAACAATTTGCCAATGCTGATAGCATATGGCAGTCTGTGTGATAGACTGCAGATATGGCCATGTATTAATCCCAGGTCTGTACACAAGCCTCTTGAGCATGTGGATTTGCAGCTCCTCCCACAAGGTGCTGAGTCTGTTTCTCCACCCTTTGCAACTGGTTGGGCCCTGTGACTTGGTCTGGGCAATAGGGCAGTAGAAGCATGATTCTAGTACACCCCAAAAGTGCTGATGCCCTGTAGCTTGATGTCTCTTGCTCTTCAGAACCCTGAAACTGATTGATGACGAATGACTCAAGACCCAGTCATTCCTATCACCCTATTCTTGCCAAGAACCTGCTAACCACCAGACATGGCAATGGGACTATCCATTCGAAAGTATCCAGTTGCTGGATCTTGAGAGTATTACCGGTATGCTAAGTGAAATAAATCAGATGAACAAAGGACAAGAGCTATATGATTTCACTTATACATGGGATATAAAATAGAAAGCAACAAGGGAACAAACAATACACATAAACAAACAAACTCATAGTCGCAGGCAACAAAATGGCAGTTACCAGAGGGAGTGAGGGGTGGGAAGAGGTTGAAGCAGGTAAAGGGGGCGAAATATATGGTGATGGAAGGAGACAATTCTATATATTATAGAATTGTACACCTGAAACTTATATAATGTTATTAATCAATGTCACCCCAATTAATTTAATCTGAAAAAAAAGATTATCCAGCTGTGTACTGAACCACCAGCTTAGCACCGGTGCATGAGCAAGTCTGGCTGAGATGAGCCCAGTTGCCCAGATCCAAAAACTTCCAATCTATCTACCAAATTGATTGCCAAAAAAATGGTTGAGGTTTTAGGGTACTAAGTTGTGGTGTGGTGTGGTACCAAACCAGCAAAAAATCAATTGATATAGTTGATTTCTATAGATAAGGAAGTAAAAGGAGGGTTGCATGAGAAACTGAGTGAGCGAGTCTATTGGTTGGTTTCTACCTCCAAATGGATTCTACCTCCAAAACATGCCTCCAGGAGCAGGGAAATTAAGACCTGAATTAATCAATTCCTCTCACATTCCTCCAGTTGAAGAGAGGCTGAAGAGAGTGGCAGAGAGACAACCAGAGATGCTACCACTGGCCTTTCTGGTGTGTCCACATTGTTGAACTAGGAAATAAGAAACCTTATTATCCTGCGATCAATCAGGATACTTTAACCTCTCTTCCTCTTAGAGGTTATGCTGTGTCATGAGGAGACAGTGCAGAGATTTGTGAGAAAAACTGAGTCAATTAAGAGAAAATAAGAAATGGGGTTGGAAATATTTTGTTCTTGCTCGGATGAAAACTGGCAGAGAGGACAGGATAACCCACTGCCAGGTTCCCTCCATCCCATCTGGTCTGGGAAACCCAAGCACCCTCTCACCATGGCCGGTCCTGGATTCACTGAAGTTGTAAGGAGTACTGTCCAGTTGAGCTGCCATCACAGTTTGAATTTCTGTAGATAAGAAACAGAACTCATTTTAAGGAAATGGATAGTAACTGAAAACCAAAACCGCATGCAGCCAACAGTTTTTTCTATTTTCCATAAAGTTGCTACTTGATTTCATCTTCCCTGTTTCCCAATACTTCTCAACTCCCCAGTGTCAGTTTCGTTTTCACTTGTTACTTCTTCTCTACACAAACATATTTCAAGTGCTTCCTCAGCTCTGGTTCTGGACGCCCATTCCCCTCCATTGAGTAAATTATTGCTTTGGATGCCATTTGTATGTACTCATAGCCTAGACCCTCTTCAGTATTTTGAACTTTCATATCCCATTCAACTTCCCCATTGGGCAAGTTCATGGGCATCTCAAACAAAACTCGACAAAAATGGAGCTTTTGACCATCTCCCAACCCCAAAACCTAGACCATGTAAATGATTCTGCCCCCATTTTGGTAGATGCCGACACCATTCAGCCAGTGACAGCTGCAGAACCTTGGGGTCAGCTTCGTCTCCTCTCTCCCCACTTGCTCCTAAGTCTACCATCAAATCCTATGGATTTTAACTCCAAAACATGTAAAATTATCTATTATTCCCACCTTTATCCTAATCCAAGCCACTTTTATTTGTTTGCCATGTTTACAGACTCCTAACCAATCATTTCATCTTCAATCCTTTTTCTGCTCTATAATCAAGTGCTTTTTTAAAACTAAATTTTGTTTTTTATTTCCTCCAGTGCCTCTCACCCAAGCACCATTACAAATTATATATATATACTAGAGGCCCGGTGCACAAAAATCTGTGCACTCGGGGGGAAGGGGGGTCCCTCAGCCTGGCCTGTGACCCCTCGGGAGATAACGACCTGCTGGCTTAGGCCTGCTCCCGGGTGGCAGAGGGAAGGCCCAATCCCTAGGTGCAGCTCCTGGTCAGGCTCAGTGCAGAGCTGATTGAGGAGTTGGGGCACCGCCCCTGTCATGCACAGAGCAGGGCAGATCGGGAGGTTGCGATGCCACCCTCAGTCACGCTCAGGGTAGGGCCAATTGGGGGGTTTGATAGAAGCTAAACCAAACCCCAGAAACCTGCCGGGCTTCAGCCAGCAGGATCGCAACATTGTTTCAAATACAGAAGGTAAACAAAGGCCAGAAACCTGCTTTCATCATCCCCTGCTTTCAGCAGTGACCCTAAAGGAAACACTAGATTAATTTAATTGATATTTACAAAACATTTCATCCCAAAGTTACAAACATACACTCTTCTCAAGTGAACATGGATTATTCTCAAAGACAGAGACACAAAATAAGTCTCTACAAGTTCAAGATAATTGAAATCATATTAAGTATCTTCTCGGATGACAATGGCATGAAACTAGAATCAAATACAATAAAAACATTCAAAAACATTCAAACCCATGGAGTCTAAGCAATGAATGAGTTACCAAATAAATCAAAAAAGGAAGGAAAAAACTTTCTGGAAACTATAATGAAAATTAACAAACAACAGCCCAAAATCTATGAGACATTGCAAAAGCAGTCCTGAGTTGGAAGTTCATAGCATTCTAGTCCTACCTCAAAAAGAAGGAAAAAGTTCTAATAAAATATTTACACTACAGCTAAAATAACTAGAAAGAGAACATCAAGAAAATCCCAGAGTAAGCAGAAGGAAGGAATTAATAAATATCAGGCAAGAAATATGTCACAGAGACTAAAAAAAATGTACAAAACATCAATGAAACCAAGAGCTGGCTCTTGAAAAGATAAACGAGATTGATGAACCTTTTGACAGACTCCTCAAGAAACAAAGAAAGCGGACCTAAATAAGACAAGTGAGAAATGAAAGAGGTGAAGTAACAACCTACACCACAGAAATACAAATATGAACAACTATATACCAATAAGCTGAACAACCTGAATGAAATGGAAAAATTCCCAGAAAAATACAATCTTCCAAAACTGAATCAAAAAGAATCAGAAAACCTGAATAGGCCAATAACAACTGATGAAATTAAAGAAGTATTTTTAAAAACTCACAACTAACAAAATCTCTGCTCCAGATGGCTTCACATGGGAGTTTTACCAAACATTCAAAAAAGAACTAATACCTATCCTCCTCAAATAATTCCAAAAAATCCAAGAGGAAGAAAGACTTCTAACTGCTTTTTTATGAGGCCAATATTACCCTCATTCCCAAACCAGATAAAGACACCACAAAGAAATAAAATTATAGGTCAATATCTCTGATGAACATGGATGCTAAAACCCTCAACAAAATATTAGCAAATTGGATCCAGCAATATATTTAAAACATCATATACCATGACCAAGTGGAATTATTCCAGAGATGCAAGACTGGTATAGTATTTGCAAATCAATAAATGCAATGCATCACTTAAACAAATTGAAAGACAAAAATCACATATCATATCAATAGATGCAGAAAAAGCTTTTGACAAAATCTTACACCCATTTTTGATGACAACTCTCCACAAAAAGGGAATACAGGGATCATACCTCAACATGATAAAGGCCACATATGAACCCTAGTTAGTGAAATGTATTTACTCTACTTCATCAATTATAACAAGTGTATCACACCAACAAAGACATTAACAATGGGGGAACTGAGGAGGACAGAGGGAGCATAAGGGATATCTCTCACTTTCTGCTCAAATTTTCTGTAAACCTAACATTGCTCTAAAAAATAAAATCTAACACCTAGAAATTGATGGCATTTTTATATAACAATAATGAAATCTCAGAAAGAGAAACTAAACAAACAATCCCTTTTACCATTGTAATAAAAAAAATTAAGATACTTAGGAATAAACTTAACCAAAGAGGTAAAAGACCTGTTCTCACAAAACTACAGCACGCTAATAAAAAGAGATAGAGGAATTTAATCAGGAGGAGGAAGATACTGTGTGCATGGATTCATAGAATTAACATGATGTCCATACTACCCAAAGCAATCTGTAGATTCCATTTAATCCCTATTAAAATATTAACTAAATAGATATAGAACAAATGCTAAAAATATTCATATGGAACCAAAAAAAGATTGCTAATGGCTGTAGAAATCTTGAGAAAGAAGATGGTGGGATCACAATTCTGCATATCAAGTTCTACTACAAAACCACTGTAATCCAATCTGCTTTGTACTGGCACAGAACAGGCATATAGATAAATGGAACAGAGCAGAGAACTCAGAAATGGACCGAAGCCATTATGCTCAGTTAATATTTGACATAGGAGGCAAGAACATACAATGGAGTCAAGAGAGTCTCATCAATAAATGGTGTTGGAAAAAAATGGACAAGTACATACAAAAATGAAGCTAGACCACCAATTTACACCATACACACGAATAAACTCAAAATGATCAAAAGACCTAAATGTAAATTGTGAAACCATAAAAATCCTTGTAGAAAATATACAAGCAAAATCTCAGACATCACACATAGCAGAATTTTCAGATACATGGCCTAAGGTAAGAGGAACAAAGGAAAAATTATTCAAATTAGACTAGAGTAAATTTAAAACCTTCTGTACATGAAAAGAAACATGTATCAAATTGAAAAGTGAACCCATATTATGGGAGAGAAATATATAATGATAAAGGGTTAATATCCTAAATATATAAAATACTCATACAACTCAACGGAAGGAAGACAAAGAACCCCATTAAAAAATGGACAGAAGACCTGTCTAGATATTTCTCCAAAGAAGACATACAAATGACCAAGAGACCTATGTAAAAATGCTCAGCAATAACTCATTATCAGAGACATGCAAATTAAAATGGCAATGAGTTGTCACCTCACACCTGCCAGAATGGCTAACATTAACAGGTCCCAGTCCTAAACCAGACCCCCATCCCAGGGTACCAGAGCTGTGAAAGCAGGTCCTGGTAACTTCAGGCTGTATAAACCAGCCAGGATTGTGACTGAGTGACATGGGGCTGCTAGAGACCAGGTATTGCTCTTAAAGGACCAGTGCACAAACTTACTCAGACTTGATCCCTCAGGCTTCAGACTTTGTTAAAATCTCTGAAGAAAGCAGCAGCTCATGTCAGCATGCCCCAAACCTTCAATAAAAAGCCTAAGAATCAGCACTAGCACCAGCCTGCCTTACATCACAGCTGGGCCTCGCCTGGGTACTTCACAAGTCCAATACAGAGAGCAGCCATCTACAGACTTCTTTGCAGTCCCTGTTGAGTGGCACCAGAGCCAGTGCACCTGGTGGACAGCTTCAGACCATACCAGATTACAACTCTACACATTATAAGTAACACACTAAAGTGGCAGACTCAGTGAGAAACAAAGCCCCACTGAAGCAAGTTCTATTCCCTACGGGTGTGTCCTGTACAGCTTCTCTTCCACTGTAGTCACAGCTGGTCCTCACATCCAATTGGCCCGGAGGTCAATTCATCCAGGGACACCAACAGCAATCTAGGTTCAACTACAAGACTGTGGACACAGCCCACACAAGAGCACACCTAGAGTGCCCAGTTCAGGTGAGTGGGGAAATTTAGCCACCGGATCCTACAGGACATCTACTACACAAGGCCAATCTACCAATTACAAGAGACATAAGAGCTCCACACAATACATAGAAATAAATCCAAAATGTAGAGACAAAGAAACATGTCACAAATGAAAGAGATTCAAGCAAGCAAACTACTGAATACAGAGTGCAAAACCATGGTTATAAGGTTACTCAAGGATCTTAATAAGAGCTTCAAGGGACTCAAAGAAAGCATCAAAGAGCGTTAGTGACACTTTCAAGGACCTCAGTGAGAATGTCAATGAATACATATCTATTAACAATTGAATCTATGAATCAAAATAAACCAATAAGAAATCTAATAAAGAAAATAAACTGATGAATAAAATAGAATAAGAGTCATGGAAACATGAAACAAATGAAGGAACCTCAGAGGGAAGGGAGAAGGTGGGGCAGAAAGAGATTGACCAAAGATCTTACATGCATATATGCATTAACTATGGACACAGACAATAGGGTGGTGAAGACAAGGGGTGGGGTGGGAACCAGGTGTATGGAGACCAATATGGGGAAAAGTGGAACATCTATAATACTCTCAAAAATAAAGATTTAAAAAAAAGGAAAGAAGAAAAAGAAAAAGCTACCACATTTGGGTGGTACAACATCTTATAAAATTAAACATGCAAAGCAGCTATCCCTCTTCTAGAAATTTTCTTAATTGAAATAAAAATGTAGATTTGTATGTGAATGCCTTCTTATTATAATATTATTATAATATTCATAATAGCTCACACTGGAAGCACCCAAATGTTCTTCAACTGCTGAATGAATAAACAAATATTGGTATATGCATATTGTTGTGGGTTAAATTGTGCCCCTAAAAGTATATGTTAGAGTTTTTACACCTGAAACCTCAGAATGTGTTATTTGAAAATAGGTCCTTTGGAGATATACCATAATTTGTTCAGATGGGGTCATACTGGAAAATAAATACAATCAGTTCACTCACTTCTTCACCATCAAAAACAGAAAATCAGGAAATCTTCTACCCATCTCTGTCTCCAGGTAAACTGACCTGGGACCTGTACCCTAATTTATCTTGCTCTGGAAATAGACATTGCCCCTAATAGTCCTTTGAGGTTCCTCTCACCACTTACACATGGACCACGAGAGACATCGTCATCCTTCCTCTCCTTGCTGGCCTAGGATAGCTACAGGCCTAGGCACTGAGGGATTGGCGAGCTCCCTTTCCTGCTATCAGAGCCTATCCAAAGATCTTGCAGATAGCCTAGAGGAAATTTCCCAAAATGTTGTCTCAGTCCAGGACAAGACAGATTCATTGGAAGCAGCTACCCTCCAAAATCAGAGAGGACTTGACCTCCTCACAACTGAGAAAGGGGGGTTATGCATATTCCTAAACCCCCGCCTCCTCCTCCCCACCAATGCTCTTCCTGGCACACATCTTTGGCCTGTGCATCCTAAGAGACCTTTCCTTCTTCCTCCAAAACCACATTCATGTAATCACTAATAGACCCATAGGGGAAATGATGCTATTTCAGACCTACACTAGATATCATCCCCTCCCTCAATCACTGATTAATTAGGGACATCTCTACACCACACTTAAGCATGAAGAAGGTACAGAAGTCTGAGATCGGCCTCCCTCATCAACCCCAGCTCACAGAAGAAAAAGAAAAGCTAGAATATTAGGCATATTCTATACCTATCCCCTGTGATAAGTTTCTCCCCTGCACTCAGTATTTTTCCATTGTGCCCCACTTGGGGCTCCTGCCCTCTCTGTGACTATCCTGTTATTCTCATTTAATGTGTTACAAGACACAGCTCAATAAAAATTTTATCCTGTGTAATGAAACCACTATCGAATATTCTATACTAAGCACCCTGATAAGTGTCTTATACATTATCTCATGTACTGTCCCAAAATGCTAATTTTATTTTTCTAACTTTTAAAATAAGGACATTGATGTGGCTCAAAAATACTTAGACATTTGCCCACGGTCACGGTGCCAACAGTTAACAGGCAGAGAAGGGATCCAATTCAAAGTCCGTCTGACTACCACTTCCCCACCAACCACTGCACACAATAGCCTCTTCTTAGTTTCTTCTCAGGCCCATGATTCTAAAATCCCATAGAGTAAGAGTTAAATCAAGAGAGGACAGGGAAGGAAGTCCACACTCTTTACAGAATGGAGAACTGGCAGGAAGCCTGTAACTAGGGAAGTTAACAGGAGGGTTTCACATACATTGTTCCTCCAGAATAGCCAACCCTCTCCCCGCAACACACCCTCCTCACTTGACATGTCACACTACTGGGGTCACAGTTTCTACTAAATGATGGGAAGGATTCAGCAACCTGCAGTTTAGATTTCCTCTGCCCTTAGTGATGTGGGCAACCTGTAGAGTCATAACACCCTGCGATCCTGCTTCTTTTTCAGTAAAAAGAGGGAGTTAGACAGGGTTGTCTCTAAATTGCCTTTGAGCTCTAAAGAACTGCCTTGGGGGCACTCATTTCCTATCCAGGGAAGAGGAGGGCTTGTCAGGCAGCCCTCAGTGTCTATCACAGCAGCAAATGCATGAAGGTGCACAAGTCAGCACAAATGTGCCCTGTTCAATATGAGACATGTAGCATTGTGCTAATAAAGCTCCTGACTCCCCTCTCTACCCTCTGCCACTACCCTCTGAAAGCAACCCTCCACACTGTGTTGCTGGCACAGAACCTGGTCCCTCCATGATCTGCACACTCCCTGAGCTTACTGCCCTTATACTTCAGCCACTCAGGGCCAATTCTCAGCCAGACTCACCTTCTTTACAACCAGTTGATGAGTTCTCAGGTTTTCTCCAAAGAATCTCATAGGGTGTAGGCTTTTGCTTTGACTGTGAGGATGAAGTGTTTGCGCCCTCTTAACCCGCTGAGTCAGGAAGCACATATTGGGTGGAGCCAGTGGAGGAACTGTTTGCCTTTAAAGAGACAGTCATATTGCCCCTAATTTGGTGGGTGCTTCAGATTTGCCAAATTGAAACCTTTTTCTGCTTGTGCCCAATCTCACACCCAAATTTCCAAAGCTATATTCGGTATTTTGGGTTATAGTGGTGAATCCAAAAGGCCATTATTAAATGACCTAAACCTTGCCCAGAAAGCCAGGCACAGTGTCTGTCACCTTCCCTGGTGTAGTGGGAGACTGTGGGATCATTCTAGAAGAAGAAAGTCGGCTTATGATTTCGTGAATCCTTGAGTGTTCACTGGAGATTGTACAATATGGGTTTTGAGTCTAGTCTTCGAGGAGGATCTCAAGTTACTCATTCAGAAATTAACAGGACTCAAGTACAAAGTCAAAAGAGTCCAAACCACTAAGAATCAAGAAAAGAGGAAGAGGAGGCCTAGAAAATGTCTTCAGTGACCACACAGGCTCTTTGGTTTTTTTCATATGGTTCTTGCAAGATTGAAAGCCTGTATGACCTAACAAGTAAATAGGCACCTGGGGTGTGGATGCAACTTTCCCTCCAAACCTTCCTACCTTCTCCCACCCCAGGTCCAGACAGAGTCAATTTATCCTAGATTTACCAGTGGATGGATGCAACAGCCTCTGGAAATTGTTTTCAAGAGAGGCAATCTGTCAACACTCCTACTGTTGACATGATAATCTAGATGTCTGTTGCATCACTATGAAAATATTGATTTTTTTATTATATATTTGGGCTCACTAGGTTGAGAATTTATTTTTTTTAATATATTTTATTGATTTTTTACAAAGAGGAAGGGAGTGAGATAGAGAGTTAGAAACATCAATGAGAGAGAAACATCAACCAGCTGCCTCCTGCCCCCCCGCCAATGGGGATGTGCCCGCAACCAACGTACATGCCCTTGACTGGAATCGAACCTGGGACTCTTTTAGTCCACAGGCCGACACTCTATCCACTGAGCCAAACCGGTCAGGGCACTAGGTTGAGAATTTAAATCAGGCAATATTTAAGCTTGAGGGTAGGTACTAAAAGGACCATATGTGGCAGGAAGTAGTAGACAATAGGGTGACTACCAATGGAGGGAAGCAGCTGGATTTGGAAATGATGGTATTAATGACCATATCATTGGACCAATTATTATAGTTAATGACTTGAGTCATGTTGAAGGGCCCCAGGTGAAAGTTTTTCAACTTCCAATAAAGGCACAGAACAGGACCAGCTACACAATTTGCAAGGACTGGCACAAAAGGAAAATTCCAGGTCCTTTGTTCAAAACTTATGAAGAATTTCAAGATGACATTACAGAGCATTAAACCTTGTGAGGGGCCCCTCTAAACACAGAGCCCTGAGAAACCCTAAAGGTCACACACCAGGAAGTTCACCTTGACAGGCTTCATATAGATGAGTTAAGAGCAGAGCCAAAACCACATTTCTTGCTCAAAATATCTCTACCATCGCTTAGTTTCATTTCACTGTCCATATTCTTTGAATGAAACTTGTCCTACCAGAAGCTTCTTGGATTTTTCCTGATCAACTAATTGATTACACTCAAGTACACTGTTAAGTTCTTTAAAGGGAAGAGGAAAGTGATTGAGATGAAATCCATAGATACAAAGGGAATAGGATGCAGATCTTGAATGGTTACAGTCTTCAGGTCATTGGCCATGGTGGATCATCTGGAAAACAGCTCCAACCACTGAACCCTAAATTAGGAATGACCACCCTCTAGATTCTAGAAGACTTGTGGTAGGAGTATTGCCCCCTGTCTCTCCTGTGCTGTTCGCTTGGCCATGCCACTCATCATTAGGAGCTCCTTTCCACATCCAGCTCTGCTGTGAGCCACCTGTCTCTCTGCTGCTGGTCCCCACCTGCAACTCCATGGAGGTGCTCTCCTCCCTCCCAGGATGCTGCTCCTTCCACATAGTCAGAAGCAAAGAGATGAAAAAAGAGAAAGCCATAGCTTCCTTTTATACATTTTCCCTTTATTTTTTACATTATACATGCTTGGCAATAAGGATATATATGAATTTTTCAAAAGATTGGGGTTTATTAAAAAACATTTCTTTAATTTCTGTCACAGTGTGCCTTGTAGAGCTCAGGGTTTTTTCTGCTTCTGGGATCTAGATAAATGCAAAACTCAAAAATATTACATTACAGAAATAATAATTGAAGGTGAAAAGAATGGGTTCCTCACACTATCCTGACTCTTCTACATATCAACAAATAACTTTGGTATAGCGTTGCCTATTGCTGCCATAATCAATTACCAAAAATATAGTGGCCTGAGGCAATACAAATGAATTCTCTAGAGTTCTGGAGGTCAGGAGCCTAAAATTAGTCTTCTTTTTGTTTGTTTTGCTTTATTGCTTAAAGTATTACAAAGGGTATTACATATGTGTCCTTTTTTTTTCCCCGCCCTTGACAATCCCCTGGCCTCCCGTACCACCCAGTGTCTTATGTCCATTGGTTATGCTTATATGCATGCATGCAAGTCCTTCGGTTGATCTCTTACCCCACTTCCACCCTCCCCAGCCAGGAAGGCCTACTCTTGCTCGAATTTTGTGTATTGGGCCTCTAGTATTTTAATAAAACTCTAAGGTGAATCATTTTACAAAGTTAAAAATCCAATTATACTATAAATGTCTAACTTTTCACAGATAATTTAGGTAACTTTATCTTTGCATATAGTATGATTTCTTAACCTGGTCCCATCTCCACTAATAATTAATTGGACATTTGCTCAGTTTTGCAACCGTGAGCAACTCAGGCCAAGACTGAACATTTCTTTACTCATATGAAAGGTTTAGGACTGAAAGTAATTTTGG